TTGATACTTTATGCATCATTGCCTTGTGTTGGAGGTAGCCCATGGGGGAACGTAAATGGCCTTACTGTTGAGGGTCAGGAAAGAATCAAAGAGCAACAAAAACTGTTTACCAAGTTGTTCAAATCTTTTGTCAAACTTGTGGATGAAGTTTATGATGAACGAACCTTGATAGCATTTGAACTGTCCAAGAATTGTAAATATTGGAGATGGCCGATGGTTAGAAAATTCCTCATAGAACGATCCATGAAAACACACCACTTCGATGGTTGCATGTTGGGTGTTCTTGGAAACAACGGCCAACCAATGAAGAAAAGTTGGACTATTGCAGGAAACTTCAAAGAACTTGAGGTGTTAGACTCATTCAAATGTGATGGCAAACATGAGCATGATCAAAGTAGGGGCAAAGCTCTTAAACTTGCTGAGAACTACACTTTCAAGTTGACTGACATGCTCCATGAGTGTTTCCGGGTAGCTGTGGTGGGCCAAACATCCAAAAGGATTTCACCCGCTGTCATTCGTGCCTGTCCTGCTAAAATGGCTGACTCGCGATATGCCACAGCAAACCCGGCCAACCGCGAGGTTGAGCTCGAAGCCACACGTGAGGCTAACAAAGAAGCATGGTTACTCCTTCACAATCGCATTTTGTTTGCTCTGGCCATGCGCAATGAAGGTGAAACTCAGGCTTCTCAGGACCTCGTGGAAGGATTGATGACCGAATGGACGCCGGCCTCGGCCTTGAGGTTCTACGGTCGTGATGATCCGCTCGCACAGTACCTTAGCTTCTGCTTTTTGCCAAAAGAGTCCCACATCGAAAAGATCATGTTGCCAAAGATGCCGGTTAACCAAGTAATCTGGATCTTAGTCTCAGACTCGTCATGTGCATTGATCACAGGGCGTAGGAAAACACTCAAGAAGTATGACCTGTCCGAGCATTTTCGACAGCGTAAACCTGAGTATGTGACTGAGTTCATCCATGAGATGCTTTGGGGCAAGACTTTGCAAAGATTGGTCAAGCGTGGGATTGAATTGGCCGCGGACGCCCGCGAGCGCTATCCTGAGGCACGTATCAACCTGCATTTGTCCTGGTTCGGAAATGAATTGGTAGGTGAGGATGGGATTGCCCAAAATCCAAATTGGCCATACGACGGTCCCAACGGGCACTGGCCCACGATCATGGATGATTGTGAACGCCATTTGACTTGGTTTGTCGACAAAGCCCGTGAATTGGATTTGCAATCGGCCGGTCTCACCACCGCGCCCTGGTCCGCTGACCATGGCATTCATCCGATTTTTGACCAGTTTTTCGATGCCTTGGAGCCCAAATTCAAAGGCTTGACCAGCGGCCTGCAAGGGCCTACCAACCCGAAGTATCCGTGGTTGCGTGCAAAAGGCTACGCAGATGCAATGGAATTCAGAGACCAGTGGCACTTCGCCAACTCTGAACAAAATCGCACTCGCCTTGCCGCATACTGGACAGCTACCCTTTTCGCAATTGATTGCGGATGGCGGGTTGGCCGAATAGGGCTCGAGCTTGCCGAGTGTGCTCAAGAAACATGGGATGATTTGCGAAGGAACATGAGCGCCGTCCTTGACGAGCTGCCAAGATCCTATCAGGAGACCTGCGCACACATCACCAAGTTGCTTTTTGGAGAGTCCCGGCGACATATCATTCCGGTCGGCAAGGCGTTCACCAAGGAAGATGTCGAAGCTCAACAACCTGACACAGAAGACTACATCGACATCAAGACGATGCCTTCGGGAACATTCGCTGAGCCGCCCAAGGATGATCCTCCAAAAACGGCCGCCGGCGACGGCGAGCCCGACACACCAAGCAGAGCCGAGATTATGGTCCGAACAGCCGAAGTCCTGTTGAAGTCACGACCAAAAGCAGCTGCAGCCGCAGCAAGCATCACAGGAGCCACTTCCAGCCAGTACCAGCCGCAGGCAACTGCGCGCTTAGAGGAGCATGCATCGGGTCACGTGAAAGCTTATTGGATGGAAGAGCACTTGCCTGAATACCAATACACAATGGTGACCAATGCAGACGGGAACGACGTACCCGGCATCCTCTTTGACGGTACGGCCTATGAACTGGAACTGATATCGGCATCCGACGTCGAAACCATTGCCCGCAATGTTCGTGTCGACAAGAAGTTTTCAGATTTTGCAACACGTGTCAACAAAGTTTGCCGGGGGCATGCCTCTTGCGCCAAGGTACCCATGGATCGGGAGCTTTGGATCGACCTGGAGGATTTTGCCAAAGCCTTCCGCAAGGAAGTGCCCCCAGACGTTTTCATCACCGTCTCAAACCTTTTTGGCACAGCAATGAAAGTTGACAAACATGGGAAGAGTAGGTTCCAGTTTCTGTGTGCAAAGATTTTCCATTTTCCTGTCGACAATGGCTTAAGCATGCCGTACTATCCTGTGAAGATTCGTGCAATCCAGGGCCATTCTGAAGCTGCATTGAAAACCGCCGGGGGTCTTTATGCCAATTCAACCATGGTGTATTGTTCAGACAAGGTCTCCCCCGAGCGAAAAGCCGCCTTCACTGGCGTGCCCCTGTGTGCAATGACTGAGGTCCCTGAAGTTGTTTTTCATCGCACGATGAGAAGCAGCTGGAAGAGCATCGCACAGAACGGCCTGATCCCAGGCGGCGGTGACACAGTCAACAGTGGCCGTGCTCATATCTACATGGCAGAACACTGTATCGGCACACAGGGATATCGATCTGGATTAAGAGCAAAATGTCCAGTCGAAATCAAAATTGCAATGCGACAAGCAGTGGAAGCTGGTGTCATCTTTAGTCGCACAGAAATGGACGGTATTTTGTGTTCAGAGCGCATCCCTCCACAATTTCTGGTTAGCATCTCAGAAGATGGAAAGGTGCTTTGGTCCCGCGCCGAGAGCAATCTCGAGCCCAGCACATGGACAGGCGCGGAATCAGCCTCAGCACCGAAATCCAGAGCGGTCACCCTGACTGCCCGAGATGATGCAAATGACGACCCAATGGATGACACCAGCACGGGGCGACCCGATGCCAATGCCACTGATGACGCCAAATCCACCGATGATGATGTAGCCGCTGACAAAATGCAAGTCGACCAGCCGCCCGCGAGGGTGCGCCGTGTTTACATTGCACCAAAGTACTGCGAACCTTTCATGGGCACTTGCCCCCTCTGCCAGGTCGTGTACGTCAGTGGCCAAGTCACATGCACCACATGTGGATATGAACCACTCCCAGTGGACGAAAGTGGCGAAACAAAAGAGGCTGACCAACCCAACAGGCGGACCCGAATGCTTGAACGGCGAATGCAGAGTCTCGCCGGGTTCGGAATGTTTGGGAAAATGAGCGGCACCTTGTTGACGGCATTGACAAATGAACAAGCCGATCTTCTTCGCCGGGAACTGGGCCCAAGGGGGATCACATCCGTGATCCGTGGAATCAGCAGTCCTCAAAGACTGCCGCGATAGACACAAGCGTGCAAAGACACTGGGCTACGAGGACGTTGAAGATCGCTATACCAGTGACGTCACGTTTTGTGACCGCATCCACGGTGAAGGGAAGGGATTGCAGGAATGTATCTTTGATGATATGTTCGCATACGCCAACCTCCCTGATCCACCCAGAACCAGAGCTCAGATCTCGGCTGGAGTCGCCGCCAATGCCCAAAATGAAAACTACCTGTCAAAGTTGATCTACATGTCGCAGCCTCGAGGCGTGGATGGGTTCCCAGTTGAATACCGCAAAACATGGAAGAAAGTCTGGGGTTTCATGTTTGGTCGCCACATTTTCACAGAGGATGAATACGTCAACTACATCGGCCGTCGTGGCGCATACCGTGGCCTGCTGACCTGGAAAGGCACCGTCCAAGTTCCTTTTGATGGCACTCTCGATTTCCTCGAAAAGCTGTATGAGGAAAACCTCCCACTGGTTCGGGGCAACCTTGAACGCAAGGAGAAGCAGAGCGCCGCAGCAAAAGCCGGAGGTCCTGGAGGTCAAAAGGCCGACCCCACGGTCGCGCCCACCACCGAGCGAAAGCGCAAAGCCGAAGTCGATGCATCCGCCACTGCACCTGCCGACACAGCCGCCTCAAGCTCCGCTCACGCGGACGCCTCACATGTTGATCCCAATGCAGCACCATTTCTTGCACCAGAGCCACCAACATCCAAAGCAGGAGCACGACCATTCTTGGAGCCTGAGACGCCGCCCACTGCAAAAGCAGCAAGCACAGTCACACCGAAGGCTACAAGCTCCGGTCGCCCGGATGCCTCTTGGAGTTGGAATCGTGATCACTATGGTGCACGTCGAGAATGGAGTTTCTGGCGTGGTGCTTGGTATTACCGTGATGAGGCCGGCGGCCGTTGGATCTTTTGGAACCGTTAGGTAGACGATGATTTTCTTTTGTAGCATAACGCAAGATGCGGCATGGTAATGTGCCTTCCTTGCAACGCTGCGCCGGGTTTTACGGGCTTGAGCTTTTTAGAGGGACCTTTGAAAGACTGCATAAAAATGTCTAAAACCAAACAAAGAAATTTGGCTACCCGCGAGCGTATGCTCTTCTGGGTTATTCGTTCTCCGCAGTCGTCCCTGCTCGCCCGAGGGGGGTGTAAAAACTCCTGCAGTAAAACCATGTATTGTATATATGTCATCGATCTACCCTGTAGCGTTGGTTCAAAACAGAGCTAGCTGCTTAGCGGATAGTGTTGTATTTCACCCCATATTCGGTTGACCTGGTAAAATACAAAACATATTAAACAGTATGATCATTATTACTATTGTTTAAAATTATATGTCAACATGGTATAACAATATAATTAATCATCTATACCAGTATAAACCGTATTAAACCATATTAAACAGAGCATCATCATTCTTATAAACATTATCATATTAAAACAATATTATAAACATGATCATATTAAGCCAATGTTATAAAACCATATTAAACAGTATTAAACCACATTATTCCACATTAAACCTGGTTGGTGGTTTGGAACAGGAGAAGCTACGGCTGCGGGAGGCGGCCCCCGAGCTGACGGCCGCCGAGCTCCTGGCCTCGGAGGCGGAGCGCCTGGAGGAGGACGACCACTAGGAGGGTGAACCATGGATGGTGAATGGTTAACCATAGGAAAACCATAGGAAAACCATAGGAAAACCATAGGAAAATGGTGGTTTAATGGGATTTAATGGGAGTTACCCTCTGGTTATGACTAACATAGCTGTTGAAAATGGCCATAGAAATAGTGGATTTACCCATTGAAAATGGTGATTTTCCATAGCTATGTTAAATTACCAGAGGGTAATGGTTACCATCCAGTGGTTTTTTTGGATGGTGATGGTTTTCCTGGATGGTGAATGGGTCAACACATGGTTAATAGTTAATGGTTAATGGATGGTGATGGTTAATGGATGGTGAATTGGTTAACACATGGTTAATAGTTAATGGTTAATGGATGGTGATGGTTAATGGATGGTGAATTGGTTAATTCACCCATGTGATCCATGTGTTTTACACCATTAATCATGGGTAAATAACTATATCACTATATCCATAACCACTGGGTTATCTAATAATAATCATTATTATTATGATGGGTAATGATTGATGGTTAATTATGGATAATTAATAACATCTATTATGATTATTAACATCATTCACCAGCTATGACTTAGAATAATGGGTGAAGAACCTACATCCATGAACATCAACTATACCAACTACAAGAGCTTGTGGTTGGATTCCAGCTATACTACAGCTACGACTGATTGAAAAGGGGTACCAGATGGTACCAGGGTTTTGAGCCTGGAAATTCCGTTTCGGAATGGCAGGAGCTGGCGTTTGCCCATGATCAACTTGCCAACTGGCAGGCGGCGACAGGATGCCACAAGCACCATGGTCAGCCTGGTTATATAAATAGAAAAAAAATCCTAAGGTTCTCCCAACTTCATTCTGGACTCTGAAGGCACTCCAGCTCCCAAATCCCAGTTCTTGATAGGAAATCAAGGTAAATCCCAGTAAATTGCCAGGCTATGACTCTCCCCAATTTCAGTATGTTACTCCACTACCGCGCAGCGCGAAAAGGTCGAGTTCAAGAAACGCGAAGACTTGCTGCGGGGCATTCCACTGGTCTTTGCGGACTTTTTGGCTCAGATCAATGCACCGGACCCTGCGCCCTGGCAAACCAGAGGGGAGAAATGCTGGGACCCCTTTGTCTTTGCTTTTCTACCTGCATTATATATATATACGATATTATATATAATATATTATATATATATAATATATATATATATAATATATATATAATATAATAATAATATCGGGATTTTACTTTTGTGGGTTACAATCACGTCAGTTTTTGGTGATTGTAATCATGACATATAATGGGTGAGACATGTTGAGACTTAATATTATACATATATATGATGTTTATTTAAACATATATCTAACAATTGGGAGCTCTGAAATGCTGATAGGACGAGATGGGCCACTGAGGCACTATCCAGCAGCAACCTTCGCCCAGAGGATGCTCCGCGATTTGTTATCGCGGCCCTGCAACGGCTGCAGCTCACCATGGCAAAGCGACGCTTGACTTCCACGGTATCTGTTGATTGCTGGTTCGCACTGCCAATCATCCAATTGACACGATTTTAATACCAACGTTGTCAGAGAGCTGGATGTGATTAATCATACATTGTAAATTATATGGTCATTCTTTCGAAGTAAGTGCAGATCATATAAAAGATGCACTTGTCATGAACGAACTTGAATCATCACAGCTGCTTCAGGCGAGGCAGAGCTGAAATTTGCACATGAAAAGATTGCAGAGCTTTCTCAGTGACCATCAGCAGAGGGATGGGCCGGTTATGTTTGGAGTTCTTTTGTGTCATGGTTGACAAAACTGATGGCCTTTGTGGGCTGACAGATGCTGACAGCCTGGGCAGGTACGCTGGCTCTCAGGGTATGAGCGGAAGCTTCATTGCCAAGATGGCCATGTTGATGTACCTCCTGGAGGCGGTGCGGAGAAGATTCCTGGATTGTGACTGGTTCTTCCAGTCTCAGTGGTGTAAAACCTTGCTGCGTTGCTATTGGAAATTTCAGTCAACATGTTAGCAATGCATAGTAAGATATAGTAAGCTTGTAAGTCCTGTAAGTCCTCCAATGACTCACCTTTTCCCATTGAGATTTTTGGCATTTTTACATATTTTTACCAGATATCACCAGCTCAAAAAGCATCCCATTGCCATATATTGCCATCACGGGGCTATGTTGGCAGGTCTCAGTGCTGTCTGGCAGCGGCTTACGTGATGCCAAATGGAAGCCCAGTAGCAACGGCGCGGGGCTTTCATGTGGCCTGGCATGGTGGGCCTGGGACACCCAAGGGCCATTTCAGGCTGTTTTGAGTTTTGAGGGAATTGCTCTATGATGTTAGTACGTACATATGTTCGTGCATATATATATATATACATATATATGGTTTTATATCACCCATTTTCACGGTAATTAATATATTTGGGGATGGTGAATTTCATTGATGGATTGCGGACATATTGGCTTGGAATATTGATTGACGGAATCATCGTCAATCTTGGGCAAGGTGCGGAGACTTCTTTCAAATTCTTTAATGCTGCTCAGCGCGCTAAATATCAGTTCTTATAAATGCGTTGAATGTGGGTTGACAAGGCTTAAGACAATTGTTGTTTGTTGGTAGTGTCGGTTGGTGTTGACCAATATTGGCTAACTCATCACCCCACGATAGGCTGAGTGATCGATACATTCAACTTGTTTTCAAGGACTTAAGATTTAGGTCATCCAATCACGGCCACCAAAACTGCTGAAGAAAGGTCAAAACATATATATATACACATAATTATATATATTGTGTATAATTATATGTATACTTATTGTTCTGTATGTTTGACTTGGACTTACCATCACTTCTCTTAAATAGATCCACCCGCTGTACCAGCACAACATGGAGAATTCCTTTGGCCTGGAGCTGAGGCACTGTGGAAATTCCTGGAAAGGAGGCCAGAAGTGGACAGGTCGTGGGATAGGAAGAGATCGGAGGAATTGTGAGCGATGTAACCTTCAGAATCTTCAAGATTTGATGGGTTTGTTTGGTTGTTGATATGTTTTGGAAACATGTCATAATTATATACATATATACATTTAGACATATATATATATATTTGTACAATTATTTAAGTTTCTATTTTTCTGAACATGATCGACATCCGTTTCACAGGATAAACTGGTGACCAAGAGCATTCACACTACAAAGGACCCAGTTTCTCGGTGGCTTTGTAAGACGTGGCGCACAAAGTTGATTGAATCGACAAGCAGAAACCCTGGAGTCACAACCTTGGGAAGTTCGTGAGAAGACTAGGGCCCGAAAAGAGAAGTGTAAACATCGCCGTGATGCCGTGAGAGCAGGCTTGGAAGTTGGAAGTGCCAGTGACATTCAGTGTGCTCCATGACTCCATGGTTCAGTTTTACACTCAGGTTTGGAATCACACTGGAGAATTGCAGATGTCACACAGCCCCTTGGATTGGTCCAATGGTTTGTCAGGGTGTAGGCAATCTTGGCCCATTTTGATTCATGTGTCCAAACAAAAACCACAAACCCAGGCACATTTGCACAAGTTTTTGAGTTTCAAGTGCTCGACTGTTTTTTGAGTGAGATGGTGATGACCATTGTGGGAGTTCCATTCTGAGCTGCACAGCCGGCAGGTGACAGCTTATGCTTCACTGTGCAGGGCGAACACAAAATCGGACAGGCCCCGGGAGCATGAGAGCTGGGGGAAGATGGTGGAAGCGAAAGTGTCTAAGATCCCCACCCTGGGGATAACTCCCAGGGTTCTAGAACGGGGATCGCGCGCAATTCTAGACCTTTGACCTCCTCCCATTGTAGACCTTTGGAGGTTTTGGTTCCTAGAATGTCTTGTGGTATATTGTAATGTGCCACCTCCGATATCCATGGACCATCCGGAACTAGGTAAGTTGTTTTTAAAGCACACAAATCTCCTGGACAGAAAGTTTCCTATGCGGAAACTACTGGTATGATTGATATCTCTGGGAGGGAGTTCGATATTAAGTTCGGACTTCTGCTTGGGATTAGAATCTGAATTGCTTTCATGTTTCTTCTTGATTTTTTTAAGACCCAAGTGGCTTCCATGCAATCTTAGGTTCTTGAACGTAAACCATTTACTGTACATCCATTTACCCCAGTTCACTCCGAAGGTTTATGTTCACATGGGCCGTGGACCATGGATATGAAATTATCGCTTTGGCTGCGCAGCCTCCTGAACCAAAGCATGCAAAGTGCATAAACGCTGATAAAAAAAACAGGATGCCAGGTACCATTCACCAATGCAACAAGAGGTCCTGAAATGATATCTCCCAACTCATTCTGTGGATTTATCTTCACCAGGCCCATAGATATGAACTTAGACCCTCCATTCCTATACAACCCTCTGAACCAAAATGTAAAACAATATGATTTACTGTACTCGGAACGGTTGAGTTCTACACAGGGTTCTGCAATGATATCTCCCAACTCGTTCTGTGAGTTTGTCTTCACAAGGGCCATAGATATGAACTTAGACCCGCCATTCCTGCAAAATCCTCTGATAAAAAATGAAGAAACCAATTTGATTTAATATATTTAACTATTATTCGGAAACGGTGAGATTTACACAAGGTTCTGAAATGCTATCTCCCAACTCGTTCTGTGGATTTGTCTTCACAAGGGCCATAGATATGAATTTAGACCCGCCATTCCTATACAACCCTCTGAACAAAAATGAAGAAACCATGTATTACTCGGAAACGGTTGAATTTTACACAAATGTCTGGAATGATATCTCCCAACTCATTCTGTGGCTTTATCTTCACAAAGGCCATAGATATGGACTTAGACCCCCCAATCCTGCAAAATCCCTGAACAAAAATGGAAAACATAATTTGATTCATCAACCGAAAGGTGTTGGGTGCCAGAAAGTTCTTTTTAAAACATATTAAAGCATATTTAAAACTTTTGACATATTGCCAAAAATTGTTTTACGACGCCTTCCCCTGATACCTTAGGTACTAATCAAAAACATGAAACGATCGTCAGGGACGCGAATAATAAACAGTCCCCAGCCAATCAGTTTTTAGTACTAAGATGAACCCTCAAATGGGATCTTGACCCTTAAAATTGTTTTCTAAAGGCGATTAATAAAAGATCAAATTGACCAACCTGAATTTTCCCGAAAATGACAATATGGATCTATTTTTATTCATTAGGGGGTTTAGACATAGGAAAAGGGGATTAGCATGGGAGCAAAGGAAACAGGCGGATAATTGAGCTTGTGAGATTGTGGGTTTTGCTTGGATGCAATTTTTGATCCCTTTTTTTGACAACAGAACGGCTCCAAAATGAAAGGGTTCAAGCTTGATTTCCGAAGACTTGGTTCCAGAACCCTCCCAAAACAAGCTGCCAAAGGTCTAAAAGCAATTCGTTGATGCCAAGGGTCCCCCCTGGGAAAATTATTTCAGACACCTTTTTGAGGGTTTAAAATCTTCCTCAAGGGTCCCCTGCTCGTACTTGAGGATATGAGAATTGTGCAGACGTGCGATGTGTTCAGATGTGTGGGCTTGTGGGCCAGATGTGTGGCTAGCTGTTTCAGGCTGTGCTGCCTGCATCGCGAGCCGTGGTTGCAGGACTGCCACCAGAAGCATGTCTTGAAAGAAATGTCTTGATGTTTCATTGGTGGTTTGCAGCCCCAAGGGCTTAGAGATTGAATCCTTAACAAATATAATAAAACATATATGACTTATACATTATGTAACAACAATATTAGAAATAATTCAATCGATTGAAAAACACATATTTAGATTTCAATGTCTTAAATCTTCAGCGTTCCATCCACATGAATATCCTGATATATCCAGTAGGAGCACAGCTGCAGGTGTATCCCCTGCTTTGTCACCTGGCACCTGCAAGGCTTTGAGGGTGACCTCAAGCTGAATGCAACGGAGACTGGCCTGGAGAATGCCATGATCAAGGCAGCCACCAGGGATGGAATTGTCCAGATATACCCTTTGGTAGTCGTTTACAAAGCTAATTGTGGAACATATGGAACCATTTTTAAAGGAAAATCTACGTTCATGGGCCTGGTTTCATAGCTGTCTTAGATTACCGGAGGGTATCCAGAAATTGGGCATCATATTATAATATATTATAATATATATATATATATGTGTGTGTCTTAAACATTGCAGTTTTCGGGCGAAGGAAAAGGCTAAAGCATGGAATTTGCGGTGCCCGCCCTGTTCTTGGACCAACTCAAATAGTGGGATGGCATCACTACCGATTGGGGACCACCTGAAGGGGGGATGCGCCCAGCAATTGCTGTGTTGAAATCCTCGGGTGTGCGTGCAGACTGTTGTGAATAGACCAAAGCTTCCACATTGGCCGAAGCTTTTCGGGACGATGCAGAAACACATAGAAACACCATTGCACCAAGCATTTTCCACTAACGAATCTTAAGTTTCAGCCCCCTAGAAGAAACGATTTATGAAGTGTGGCTTGGAGAGAGATTCCACTTCTGCTTGTTATGATATTGTGGCTGCTTGACTTGTTTGTCTCCTTTGCTCCTTACAACCTGTTCTTTCCACGCCCAGCCAACAACAGCAGACATAGCCAGTACCATCCAGCGACACCAATGGTTGCCCGATCTAAGCAAGCTGCGCTGCGGCTGCCCTTGGTCGTTTGCTTGCTGTGTCTGAATTATGGAGGAGATCAGCTGGTGGGTCACCTGCAGTCAACAAGAAATGATGTAAAATGCTGAATGGATACAAATGCTACGCCAAGTATGGATGAGATGATGAATGGTCAGCTCACAGCAGGGTCATGTGATCATGTGATCATGTAGTGTACATCATACAATAATAAAAATAACTAACTAACTAACTAACTAAATAAATAAATTAATAAATAGATAAATAAGAAATATATAGTATAATGCATATATATATATATACACATACACACACACATATATATACATTAGTGACTTGGGTCCGCATCCATTGCGCCCAGCAAAGGAGATGGGTTTTCCACGACGACATTGGCAACTTCGACCACCTCGGCTGGTGGCTCTTTCGCCATTGTCATCATGCCATGATCGACGGATTAGATCCATGTTGGGGGATGGTCATCCCTCAAAAATAGTGGCTATATGATATATATACCCTCTGGTTATTTAACATAGCCATGGTATAGATGGCCCATTTATAGATGGTTTACCTATTAAAAATGGTGATTTTCCATGGCTATGTTAAATAACCAGGAAGGTATATATTAATCAATATACCATAATATGCGATGAATTGAGAGATGACCATCCCGCAACAATTTAGTGATTCTGTAGTGATGATGGTGATTAATAGTGATTCATTAATGATTAGAATGGTGATGAATAGTGGAAATATACCATAATACCCCCATGAAAAGGTAATATACCATATAATAATATATGTATATATATATATATTTACCCATGCACAGGAGTCCCTGGTGACTATAACCATCCATAAGCCATATACTCTGTAATTATTACATGGCACCATGTAGAGTCAGGTCTGGGCACTCGCGAGCAGAAGATGACCTTGTCCCTGTCCAAAGATGGAACAAATGTGCAGAAAGAGGCGTGGGTTTGTGGCACTGAGAGCTTTGGAAAATTGACCGGCTGCTTCATTGCAGATTACACCTTCGCCAGTGAACCTGTGATCAGCAACCCCAAGTTCGTGTCACATCCGTCAGCGTTGTGCCATGGTGGGACAGGAACCTTTTTTTTTGTTGGACCTGTATGCTTCCAAGCACGAAAGTGTCGATCTGCAGGGATCAAGATACTTGCTTTGGTGCGGCCTGTTGCTGACTGGCAGTGCTCTTGGGGCTTTGCATTGCAGAAGGACGGAGGCATCAGCTGAACATTGTTGCATGCAGGAACTGAGCAAAGCAATCACTTGCTTGATTAATGTTTATGTATGTTACTTTACAATTTCGATAATGGACGGATGCTGTCCCGCAGAGCGAGGACGTTATTCCCTCAGAAAGGGTTTGTTCTTTTCCACACTCCGCCTTGCTTGGCATGTAAGAGCGTACACTGCCTCAGAGTCATTCCCCACTTCTATTAGGGTAAGAACTTGGCGTTGACAGATTTTAAACCCAACAGTTGTTGCGGTGGCACGCCAAATGCCATAGCATGCATCGGTTGAAGATGAGGACATCCTTCACGTGCTGGAAAATGATCGAAGGATATAGAACATATTTATTTATGTTTATTTAGAATTTCATGGTTTTCTCACGTTTTTTTTTCTCTCTTTTTTTTCCACCCAGCCATTGGTGGCACTGCTTCTGACATCTGACTCATTTTTTTTGGAACCAGGACAGCGAGGGCTGCGAAGGCTATGCCGCAAAGCTCGTGAGCTGGCTGCATTGCTGGCTCTGAGACATTTTTTGGTCGCTTGCAGTGGGAGATAGTTAGGACCCTGAGACATCGCGGCCTGAGGAAGAGCTATGCTTTGGCTATGTCGCGATTTCAGATTTTAGGCACTGCGGCAGGAGGTTTGACTTTGCATGCCATGTCCCTGTTTCCAGAACCCAGACGAGATGGGTGCGTTATGGTGCGTTTGCATTGGGGAATTTGCAGGAATGTCTTTTTTTTTGGTTTTTTGGTGGATGATTGGAATTCAAAAAAAGCTTTCATCATCTTTCATCATCCATTTGCATAATTAATTTCATCAACTTTCATCATTTCTCAAGAAATCTTTCCATTTCTTCAGGTATTTGTTGTATCTTGGCAGCGCAATATACGATGCTGCTGATCTTTGGGGTCTATGGCTCTGAGCTCCTGGACCCAGGCCGCCCAGTGTTATTCACCATCCCATAGGATCCATGGAGCACCATATATAGCAGCACCATGGATCCTAAGGGCTAGGGGCATTGGATGAATTCACCCTTAAACAGTGAAACATGTTATATATATATGTTAATTTTCTGAGCGGGAGAACACGGAGACTCTTCTCATTCAGAAGAAGTCCTGTTCAGTCGTCTTTTTCGTTGCGGTTGGAGTGCAAACCACGGACCGTGGAAATATGTGAAAATGCTGGCAACTGAGCAGCGCAGGCGATGCAAACAAACTCTATGCCGCCGCCAGTTGGGGCGCTTGCTTTCTTGCAGCGCCAGCAGGAGTTTGCTTTGATGCCCTGGGGCCAGCATGGCCTTGTGCTCAGTGCAGATATAATTTGCAGATACATGTGAGATATGTCATATGTCTCAATTTCCTTGTATTGGTGTTTGAAGTGAGGAAAACCAGGCAAACTGTCTACTGTATACTCATTGAATGGGATTATGAATTTGATATGAATTGATTATAATTGGCATAGTTTTTATATAACGGCCAGTCATCATCGAATCTGTTCACACCATCCTCAACCAAGATAATTCGGAATCACACCTATCCACCCTTAGGTCAACGCTTCTGGGTGGCGCCATGAGCGCATTTGGGTTGGGCACTGCCGCTTTGGTGCTAGGCAGCTATGGTGCAGCCTCGTTACATGGTGCAGATTAGACTCACAAGGCAGTTCATGTATGCAGGATGGACAGAGGATATATAGATTATAGTATAGAATTAGTATAGATTTGATAGATCGATGAAGTGGCGCTCAGTCTGCCTTTTTTGCATCCTTTGGTCAGACCAGGTGGCGGTTTTTGTAAATTTTTCAGCCCCAGGTGGCCTCAGTCCCAGTTTTAAACTTCCCATCGGCCCAGTCTGCTCGTTGCAAGTGTGGGCTACTTGCTCTTTGGATTTGGCGCCACGTTGCTGAACACAGCACCTTGCCATGCAGAGATGGCCATAGTTCCCAGAGCAAATTGAACGGGCAAAAGTTGGCAAAAGCACGAAAAAAAATAAAAAACATGAACTAAACCACTGGATCTTGGGATACTGTAATCAGATTGTTGGTGGAAAATCTCAAAATCAATACAGAAATGATCAGAAATGATTTAAATAAATAAATAAATATATATATAATATATTTAAATGATTTTAGATGGACATTTCAAAGTGACATTCTGAAACCCTTGTTGCAACAGGTGGGGCTCTTGGCAGCGGTGCGAGTGGTTCCCTCTCAACATTCTGGAAAAGCAGCTGCCTGCGTTTTGTGCTCGACCCTTCGCTGCATGCGTTAGGTCCGTTAGGTCGTCACTGAGGGATGCGTTGGGCAGGAATTCGGTGGGACATTTTTTGGAGAAACATCTCTGCTTGACGAGGATGAGGATGTGGATGATGATGATGATGATGATGATGATGACCTTAATTGACCCATCTCTCTCTATCCGTCTATCCCTGACTGGGTGTGAAACCAATCATAATTTGTGGAGCTGAGCCAGGGCTTGCCACGTCTGCCAGCGCTTGACACAGCAGTCACCAGCAAAAATGTTGTACAGCCGAGGGCTGCACTGGGCATCAGCTTCCACACTGCCGTGCATGCCAAGTGGTGCCGCCCCTTGGACCTTCGATTGGAACAGCACTGGCAGCCAGCTGCATGTTCCTTCCTGTTCCCGGTTCTCGCCCAGGTGGTGCCCCTTTCCACTTCATTAACTATCAGATCACCTACAGCATTCTCTCCGCTGTGATAGGCCATATGGATCCATATGGCATCGTATGGCATCTCAATCTTGGACACTTTCCAGCTTGTGCATGCTTGTGCGCAAGCTTTATTGCGTTTATCACTTGATCACTTCCCTTCCTGGTGCTTTTGTGATTCCAATTGGTCAATCAGTTCAATGTTTGCAGGTTTTATGATTTTCCGCTCGCAATCGTGGAAGCTGGCACTGGCTGAAGTCGAAGAGCAGGAAGCAGATGGGAAATCCAGCCTCTCGGCCCAGCATGGCCCAACAGTTGCAGGCCTTGTCACTTGTGCGATGGTAGCTGGGTAAACCTTTGTGAATGTAGATTCATGCGGTCATTTACAGCTTTGTAAATTGGGGTACTTATTAGCACCAGCTAAATCCAGCTAACTCGAATTATTTCTGGATAAGTAAGTCTTTCAGATGTTTTTCAGGGGTATCCAAGAGCCAGGATCAGAGATTCCCCCCACCATAGCTGCCATAGCTGCCATAGCCATAGCAGGTGGTGAAGCCAGCCCGCAGAGCCAAAGTAGCACCAGGGGAAGGTGAGCCTTGTGGGAAGCCATGGGATCAAAATGCCATAGTTTTGACCCGCCAAATGGATGCTGAAACCAAGGAATATCGGGATCATCCAATGCTCAATTTTTTGTTGTTTTGACTATGCTTATGCCTGCAATTGAGGAGATCAATGATGTGGAGAATTTCTTTGTTTGCAATTGAGGTCATGGATGGAGCAAGTAGGAATGGTTAAGTTTTAGGTGTTGGTGCCAGAGAGGACACCCCTGATATCTGGCATGTGCCGGCAGGATTTTTGGCATCCTGAAAAACAAGGACAGCCTGGGCTCAGCAGCTGCTGAGCATTTCTAGAAAGAAGACTTGAATTTGATCAAAGTCTATATAATCGGTCAATCAGTGTGAAGAATTTCGAAGAGTACAACCCAAAGATCCTGAAAGAATTTTGTTTGCTCAACAGCCAACCAATTCTGCCAGGACTTTCCCTGGCTCGCAGCCATTTATTTGATTCCCATCGCTTATTGCTTCGCTTGGTTGGGCAACTGGCCAGTGTGTGCCACCAGTCTTGGGCTTCCTGCTGAGGCGTCCTGGATCCCAGGGGATTCGAAGACTACTTCGTGGTAAAAATTGTTAAACATGGCCGATTCTCAGGGATTCTCAGGGTCTATGTTAGTTGATATCCAGGTGGTAGAAATTTGCAGATCCATCCTGAACATTCCTGAACGACCTTTTTTTAGGCACAGACTCGCATTGGCCTCTCCGTCGGCCTGTTCTCTGCCCTGGGCCGTGTGGTCTTCGGTCTGCTGGGAGACTGGGTGCCCAAAGGAAGAGGCGCGGCACTTTTTCCAGGTGATGCCGTGCGGTGGAATTATGTGGATCTCATGATCTGTTCATGAGATGGGGACCCACAGGCTTTATGATTGAGATGGGGTTAATATGGGTTAATTATGGTGAATTACTATACTATACAAATCGGATTCAAATCGGTATAGCTATGTATAGCATTGTATAGCTGTAATTCACTTCCAGTTGGCCTACCGGTTGCCATTGTGAATTGAGACATATGTGACATAACACCAAAAGAACTGATTGAACTTGCTCAGTGCTGTCACCAGGTCTGGTTGGCTTGGAGCTGGGCTTTACGGCAAGTCTAGGCCGGGGATGGGTTGGTGTATCTTGTTGTTAAAATATGTTAAAATGAGCGGAAGGATCTGGGCGGCAGAATGTGCAACGAGGAGTATGCCCACTGGCTTGATGTCATTTCGGACCCTACTGCGCGGCGTTTCAGGCCTGTTTGCCGGATCCTTCCTTTTGCTGTGCAGCATCTTGGCTGCATTGCTTTATTTCAACCTCTTCAACGCTTGTAGATTGTGTGCTTATTCGCACTTCCTTGAGTTGAGAGATCAGTGTGAACAAATGGTAGGTATTTCCATGTTTGCCAGCCCTTTTGAAGTCTTAACCTCCTACATTTCAGACACTGCCTCATCAAAGCTTTCTGGCAGCCAAGTTGATCAACGGATGTTCTTTGAGGCTGCCATGCGGCACCTTGGCAAAGTCTTGAAACGAAACTGATGGGATGTTGTTAAATCCATGGTCAATCAATGTTCATTGATTATGGGTCCATTATAGATCCAATATAGATCCAATATGGATGCAATATGGATGCAATATGCTCCTTTGTTTATGACACCATGTATGACGGACCGCATGGTGACTGCTGCAACCAATGGGTGATGCGATGGGTTCACAGCCCCCAGGGGTCCCCAGGGGTTCCAGGGGTCCCCAGGGGTCCTCAGGTTGCAATCCTTGGGCTATGGTGGGGTGCTGTGCCTTGCAGCCGTGGCTTTGCGCGCCAGCTTCAGTGGTGAGGACGTGCACAGCCATGGCATGCCATGGCCCAATGGCTAGTTACGGCTAGTTCCCCCTGGGCTGATCATGTTGACATTGCTGTTACATGCTGTTACCTTGTGCTCAAACATGGCTTGCTGGAACATCTCCCATTTAGTTCGATGATTTTCTCCAGTGGCTCGCCAGACACGGAAGGGTATTTGCAGTATTTTGCAGTATCCCAAAGAAGTCCACGAAGGACTTGGGCACTGCCTTTGGCTTTCTCTACCAGATCCTCACAGTGACCTTCATGCTCTTCAATTGGGCCTGCGTGCCATCCAGCAACTGTGAGGGTGCGGAATGCTTTAAGGACCGAGACCGAGAATGACCGGTGGTAGTCCGTGGTAATGAATGGTAATTATGTGCAAGTTGGGGATGCAAATGACATGGATGTCTTTACTCTGGTCACTTTTTGCATGAATAGTTGAATAGCTATGGCTGCCCTGGAAGAGATGCAATGTAAGATCAGGAAAACAATGGCAACCTGACCCGGAGAAAGATATCTAAGACTTCACATGACAATGAGTTTATATAGTTTGTTTTTTGTTTGGTTTAAGTTTCTTTTAAGATGGCTGTTGCTTGAAACTGAGTTTTGGAGTGAATGCTGCAAAGCCTGGACCCTGGCCGCAGGGCTTCTTCAACCTGAGTGGAGTACTGCATGTAGGCGATGTCGGACGCTCGAAGTTAGATGGATGATGGTTGTCGCATGTTGTCCCTCTATCCATTTTCCACGTCTTTTTTTTCAAAGATTCTGGTTCAAAGACGGTTCAATATATATAGTTACTAGTTCCCCTTGGACATCTTGGATTCTGATGGATGTAGGAACCACAGAAGATATCCAACTTGCTGGGGTTGGCGGAATTTCTGGTGCGCTGCCCTGGGCAGGATGCGTCCTCTGGGGTGTCCGACGTTTGTTGAGAGCATCGAAACGTGCAGCTTTAGAGACCAAATCGCCCTAGGTGATGGTGAGCCGGTTGCGCCGGTTGCTGGTTTAGCCATGTTTAGCCTGACTTTTCTCATGTGTTCTCAGAACTGCACTGTCTACAGCAAGAATCAATTCTTGGGACCTTTGTTTTCAGGTTGGTTTGAATTTGGGAATGTACGTCTGCATGTTCGATGCTGACCTGACTCGGACTTGATTTGATTTTGGAGGGGTTGAAACTTGCAACCAGCAGAGGATTGTTTTTAAAACGTCGATGGAAAATCTGTGGTCCCTCAATGGACCCATGATCAGCCCACCAGATGAATTGCCCATTGAGAGAAGGCCATGGTTTTTTCGGTTCCAACGTGGCACTGTTGCATTCGCCGGGTTTACGGCATGTTCTTCGCTTGAGCATGATGTTTTTATTCACCCGGTTGCCACGTCTTGCCTGCTTTTCGGCAAAGGCGTTCAAGTATCCTTAAGATTCCTTAAGTAGTAGAAACATGTAGTAAGTAGTAACATCAGCAGGTGTTGCCATGCTGCCCGGTTTTGCTACACTGCCTGATTAGTACGTGACTAATACTTCGAATTCGATAGTGGGAGGTAGCCTCCGTGACGATAGATCGCCGGTTGAACCGGCACCCAAAGGTGATTGAAGTGAGTCCCTAAGATTTATTCTGGGGACATTTCTGAAGCGGGCAAGTGTCCAATCTCCAACGGATGGGCACAACTGCTTCGATGACAACGGCAAACAGATGCAAAAAGGGCAATCGTGACACATGTGCAGTGAGCCTCCTTAAAAAAGCTGTGTGGAGCCCCAGGTGAAGATTGTGGTTGGGACCCCAGGACCAGTAGATTCAGTAGATGAATGTAGATGAGGACTTACTGGGAGTGATGTCCATAGGCCTGCTGGCCATGCTTGTTGCGCCACATCCAAGGTCAAAATGTCCTTCATGGCTGGTGAGAATCCAAGGACTTCAGATCTGACAGTGCCTCAACTGACATAAACATCTTGAAAGATCAGGATGATATTCCTACTGATTCCTTGTGCACAGGACGGGAGGATCGAATGGACCGGCTGCAAAGCCTTCAGAACATTCAAAACACCCTGGCAAGGTGGGAAGATGTGGGAAGCCTTCGGAATGCGCTGTGTCATGGGCAAGGAAGTTAGTGATAGTTGAGCAGGCCCCCACGGTGAAATATCGGAAAAGGTTGACTTGTTGCTGGCATGCGAGGCCCAACCCTCTTCCACCAGCAATTCTGGGAGCGGGCTTGAAACACTTGGGGCTGATGGGCTTCATAACATTTCAGAACTGCACCTGAATTCCTGCAGATGCTGGCAGAAAGATGTGCTGCATTGAACTGCTGGACCACCATGCAGGACAGATTCGGACAGCTCCAGTTCAGGCCATACAAATAGTTGCCGAGCAAAAAAACACTTGGCACTTGGCAGGTCTCACAACTCCTGATCCTACTTGATGTCAGTGTTTGTTGCAAGCAGCACATAGCCGTGAAATGCAACACATAGGTCTCAGGAACCTGTGACTTCCTGCTGAGGCAGCTCCGCTGGCGGGCCAAAAGCTTTGCTGAATGCCGCGAAGGCAAGAACAAATTGTGACAAATCTCCAGCTGACATGATCTGTGATCCTGTAATCCGGCTTTCCATCTCCATCCATCTTCCATTTACCCAGCTGCATGTCAGGCTGGTGATTTAGCCCAAGTGAGTCGCTTGTGCTGCACAATCACCGAACAAGAGAGTAATCCATCCACCCAGCAGTTGACATTTTAATTAATTAATCAGTTAATCCATCAATTGATCCAACAAAATGGTGCTGCGGTGCCCAGCCAACAGACCCCTTTGAGGTTCCCTGGTGAAGGGCGCACAGGCCGGGATGTTCGGATTTTGATGGTACTTTTGAAACATTGGCAGATAGTACAAGAATGTACAAGATCCATATGCCAGATACATCCAGTTGCAAGATAGTCACTATAGATAATCATAGATAATCTATGTTAATGACATGTCATTAGTATGACCACATTCAATTATTGAACATGCTGCCATATGCTACCCGATATTTTGCCAGATACTTCCTGCAGAAAAAGCCGAGGCGAAGGACCTCACGGCAGCGTTGCACGCGGCCTGTTCCGAGGGGCATCGCAAGCTGGTGGCGCCCTTGTGCAAAGGAAAGGCAGATGTGAAGCTCGGAGTCGGTGGTGATGAACCTTCCATTTTGATAAAAGGTGATATAAAATCTGATGAACACATATATATATATAATATAATATATATACCCAAGGGCTCCATGTCCCTGTATATCCGGAACCAGCCTGGGTACCCAAAATACAGGTAACCGCCATCTTGGTTCGGAACTAGGGCCCTGCAGATGCCTATATGGCTCAAAATGTAGGAACTATCAAGAAATAATGACAAAATTTGATCAACATCATCAATGATACCGTATTATTAATTCAATCAGCACATAAAAGTGATTCCTTTTCTGATCTTCTCTCAATTCTATCGGTGAATTGGGCCATGAATGAAGAGGGCATTGGCGTTAGAACGCCAAAAACGATGGACTGCAGGTGCCACACCCTCTCCCGCCGCTGCTGCCCTGCAGGATTTTCTTCATGTTGTCACAATTGCATCTGCTGTCGAGCTAGGATCAGTCGGCCAATCAGCAGCCATTCGAGCTCCTGAGAAGATCTAGGATTGTGAGCCATGGGTAGCCACTCCCGAGAGGATGATGAGCCCTTTGACTTTACATCAAATCATGTTATACAAATTGGGTGGATACCAATTAAATTTGATTTGTTCTCTAGAAAAGTAAGAACTGATGCCCATGATCTGAGGCTTGACTATTTGAAGGCCGTCTTGGAGGATTGGGCCCGGGAGTTAGGGATTCAAACGATCCGAACATTACCGGGCCGAAGTCTTGTTGGCGCTGCCAGCGCAGAGCCGACGGATGAGTCAGTGTCTGGTTTGTTTGGACCAATTTCCATGCTGTTGGCCCATTTTGGCGTCTATGTCCCCGTGGGATCAAAAATCAAAGTACCCTGTCAGCATGATTTAAGAGAATACATGCAAATTGTGTCGCTTATTATTTGAAAATTAGATCATCTTAGACCAAATTGCCTCACTGAGGCTGCATTCCTGTACCTGAACGAAATCCACAGCTTTTGGCCGGAGGGCACCCTTCAAAAAGATCTCACTTCATGGGCTGAAATCCAAGGATCAACTTTGAGGGTGCACTTGAGCTACATGGTACGTTTGTGGCGCAAGACCCGATGGAATTCTAAGTTTTATGGCTGAACTTGATCATGATCAATTTGATGATTTATCAATTTGGGGCCCATGATATACCTAGCTGACCAAATCCCGAAACCTAGGAATGAACTGGTGCAGCAGCTCAAGGACATCTTGAATGCTTTATACCCAGCAGAAGAAGGTGGGACACCAGCGGCACCAACTGATCCAGCAGAATCATCAGCCAGGGAGGTCGCGGCACCAGCAGAAGTTGGATCACCAGCGGCACCAGCTGCACCAACAGACATGGCAGAAACACCAGCCAGCGATGTTGCAGCACCAACAGAGGTTGGAATTGAAACCGGGAGTGATGATGGGGATGAGGATGGTGTTAGGATGTTGGGACTCCTACCCTTTTCCAAAACTTGGCCTGCTGTCCTGAAACAATGCATGGAATCCTATGATCCTCAGTATGACTACCAGTCCTGCTGGGTCAAGGGTGGTGGTTTTGTTATCGGGTTCAAGGAGCCTTGGGAGTTGGAGCATGTGCCTGCCAAGTGCCAGTTTCCTTTGTCGGTGTACGTGGCAGTTGCTTCAGAAGCACCAGCTAGCAGCACAGATGCACCAGCCAGCAGCAGTGACGCACCAGCCAGCACCCCAGGGGATGCAGCTGGATCCCACGTGGATCAAATGGATACCTTGCCTCTGGAATCGAATGATTCTAATGATTGGCCGCCCCGCCCGTGGATTCCCAAGTCATCACTTCGCAGATGGAAGCCGATGGAATCACCCCAGGACAACTAGTGTTGAGTCATCATCATATTATAATGGTCAGTGATGCTGTAAAGTGTGTCGGGAGGATTTTCATGATCATACCAAATCAGTTCAATATATCTTTTACCCTAACCCTTTCGTGAGGATGATGGGCAACCGGAGCAGCCTGATGATGTTTCAGCTGAACCAACACATGAGGCTTGAAACAATTTGTGTGTCATATCATTCGGTTTGTGGTAGTGGTCATGCATTAGGCCGTCACTGCTGTTGAAGTTGCTGAAGATCCAGCTGGTCATGGTGAAGAGGCCCTATCCCATTATCTGAGTTCGAGAAAAAACTCTATGCACATGATATATCTAAGAAGTTATCGCTGGACATTTTCCCAGGTGACTGGTGATGCTGCCAATGGATCTGACCACACGCCATCTGATGTGGTAGAGGCTGGTTCTTCTCCGCTAAAGTTCAAATAATTGGCCCAATGATTTTAAGGTGACTGATAATGATATCTAATCAGTTATCGTTGAACATTTTCCCAGGTGACTGGTGATGCTGCCCATGGATCTGACCACACGCCATCTGATGTGGTAGAGGCTGGTTCTTCTCCGCTAAAGTTCAAATAGTTGGCCCAATGATTTTAAGGTGACTCATGATGATATCTATAAGTTATCGTTGAACATTTTCCCAGGTGACTTGTGATGCTGCCCATGGACGTGACCACACGCCCTCTGATGTCGTAGAGGCTGGTTATTCTCCACTAAAGTTCAAATAGTTGGCCCAATGATCAACATGTCCAGGCCATCATTAAATTTATATACTATCACATTGTCTCAGGTGACTGCATTGGAATGCGTGGTGGCTGACATCGATGAGGACAAGGCGGCTTCATGTTGAAATATCGGTGTTCTTTTACGTTCCAACATTGCAGGAATCTTCAGAAAATTGGTCCAAATAAGAATCATGTGACTGTGCTATCTGGTTACTTCATTAGCCTCCCTGTCAACATGTCATGTCACCCTCCAGTCTCCTCAATGCCCTTGGAGGAAGACATCGCTGCTGCTCCAGCTGATCCTGATCAAGAGATGGTGGAGGTGTGGGTTGGTAGAACATGCCCTGGGGGGTAGTCTTTTAAGACAATCGAGTGTTTGCTGTAAGGTGTTGGAAGAGACAGCTGGAGACTGGAAATATGAGGACTGAACCAAATTGCATTTGAAACTTTTTTCATGGCCAAAAAGATTGATCAAGCTGATGATTCCCAAGACTCGAGCGCTCATTAGGACTACTACTGCGATTGGAATGACAACTCCAATTGGTACCAGGGATGGGGCAAGACGGAAAGCTTGTCAAATGAGGACTCCTTATTTGAAATGTGCCACATGATATCATGATGACCTATTGTTCGACCTTCCCCCTTTATTCCAAACTTCACCAAGTGCTGCGTTAGGACCCATGGTCTGCTGGCTTTTACGAAGAGGGCCGTGCAGACTGGCAATGGTGGGAGGAAAATGATTCATCACACAAGTACAGTGCTGATTCAGTATCAATTCCACACAGTTCCATCTTTTGAATCCGGTCAAAATTTCTCGAGTGCTGCGCTAGGATGAGTGGGCTCAGCAAGAGTGGGATGAGTGGACGGCCAACAATTCTTGGGATTACCAGGACACTATAGAATTTCCAAATGATGCTGAATGTGCCAAATTAGACATTTTCCTGTAGCTAGCGATTAATTGTTTATTTTTTTGGGTCAGGACAACTTGGACAAGCTGAACCAAAAGCCAGAAGTGAAGGGTGCTCCGCCCAGCAGGCTAAACCACAGTCATGCTGACCCTTACCCAGCATTTGTTCTCCGAGTTGATCAATATGTGCAAAATGTACATGTACCACGTGCCATAGTTTAGAATTTGATCCTATGCACAATAAGGACAGGGCCCCCTTGGTGGCTGACCCGCCATCTTTGAATCAAGTTCTCAGTGCTATCCATCTGAGCGACCTTAAATTTGAGAAGGATATTCTTGCTGGACAAATTGCCATGAGACTTAGCTGAATGATGTGTTTTTCATTTAATATTATATGCGCTATTATGTCACCAACATAGGCAGCCAAGTGTCTCACACCTGCTGCATAGGCGAGCCCGTGCCAAGCGCAATGCCAAAGAGCCTGCAGCTGATGGAGAAGCCAAGAGGGGCCGCCCCAGGGGCAGTCAAAATGCTGCTGATGCTGACAATTTGCCAGGGACTTCCCAACCCAGCCAACCTTCCAAGAAAGGCAAGGGTAAGGGTCGTAGGAAGCAAAAGGAACCCAAGGAGCAGGAGGAGACCAAGGAGCCTGAGGAGCGCAAGGAGCCCATTACCAAGGAGCCCAAGGAGCCCAAGCAGCCCAAGCAGCCTAAGGAACGCAAGCAGCCCAAGGAGCCCAAGGTGCCCAAGGAGCCCAAGAAGCCCAAGGGTAAAGCAGCGCCAAAGAAATGCCCCACGCCCAAGACTGCTGCCAAGAGTGCTGCCAAGAGTGCTGCCAAGAGTGCTGCCAAGAAGACTGACAATTCCAATCAAGTTGTAGGTGCCTAGTCGCATGTTGTGTTGCAACCAGTACTGCTGTATAGAACGTCATCAATAATTTCCCTTGGTGTCAAGAAATTTTGGTAGGTGCCGAAGAGAAGGAGCTCATCAAGTCCAGCCTGCCCCAATTGACATCTTACAAGGCTATGAACTGATTGGAACTGGTCACAAGCTTCACTATTAATGAGTCAATATGTTTGTTTCTTTGCAGGATGTGCCCTATTTGTTTATGAATTAATTCAGTTTTTTTTGTTTGTAGGTGGTGCCCTACTGGACTACTGGGAATGCCGCCGTTGAGATGAAAGCAACCAAGGAGATGAAGAAAAAGGAGGCCTATGATAGCATGGTATATTAATCTTAACATCTAGAAACCCTTGCTCCCAACTCGCATGCTCCAGATTGCCTTCAGCACGGCCATCCCTGGACTTGACATGCACCAGATCGTAGAGCCTTGCATCACGTTGGTGTGGTGCTGAGATTGGCAGGTTGGGACAACAAGAGTTGATATGGCCATGGGGTATATAGTGACAATCTATTTCAATTCACATCCGCATATAAGGCCAAAGCGTTGGAGGCTGGGACCTCTCTGCCTTCTGCTATGAAGGCATTCTATGTTGCCCGTGGTGGATTGTTTGATTTGGCTGGTGTCACCCCCAAGCCCAGCAAACGCTCAAAGAGTGATACTGCTGAGGATGTGGAGTAGGTAGGTAGCTATAGGCTCGAATGGAGTTTTCAATATTTACAAATTTGGTTCCAGATCATGGCAGTTATAATGTGTGCATGCTGCGATGTGAGTGAGCTGTGCAATTTTAGTACGATGGACCACTGCTTTCATTTATTAATTTATAGCCGGCCCAAGAAAAATGTTTCGTTAGAGTCGTCGTCACTATGCAGCTCAGGGGTGCAGCCTTTCACACATGTATGACATGCCCTAATCCAATATGGGGTGAGCCTGGGTTCCCTCCAATGCGCACCAAGCGCCTTAGCGGTGGGAGCAGCTGAGCACATTTGCAAAGAGCAGGTCGAACAAATTCCTTCGCATCAGGAGTCAAGCCACGTTTGAAAGTGGACCGCACAGAACTTGCAAGGCCATAATGACGATCATCACGTGATACTTAAATGATCTGAAATGTGTTCGCAGTTTTAGCTTTTGATGTTTTCCGGTTAGGGGTCATCGCCTGTGAGTGATTTTCACCATGGTGGCGCCTGCTTTGCGCTTGAACGATCATGAAGTACTCATGCTTTTAGCACTGGGTGCTCCCTGCATCATGCGCCTAAACGGCACTTAGGTAAATCATTTTGAAACATTTTGAAACCACATCACATCATGATCGCTCAGAAATTTAAAATGATAAACCAGCCACCTATCATCTCCGATGCCCAGGGTTCACATCATCGATTACGTGGTGGCTACCAGTGATGGGACCTTCAAGAAGGCAAGGCCTGGCAAGTTCAAGAGACCATTACCTAATAAAATTTGAACTATCCCGTTTCAACTAGATTCCATACCCAGGACCTTATGGCGTTTGAGCTGTTCTGCGGAATTGGCGGTATCTATGCCACGTTCCGTCCCACCCTCAATACTTCGTGATGAATAGATTATTTTCAAGAATTTTGGATTGTAGTGGTAAATTTCCACTTGGGTTGGTTCACCAAAAAAGGCCTCCACAAACCCCCCCAAAAAGCAGTACTTCCCTGCATTTTATGAAAGATTTCGGGACTTGTGGGGGCCTTTTTTGGGGAACCAACCCAAGTGGAAAATTAGCAGATTGTAGTCCCTACCCTGCCTGGCTTGCATTCTCAGGTCGGCTTGGCCTGGCCGCTGCCAAGTACGATGTGAATTTGAACAGCCAGGACATGGATTTTACCAGCGTGTTTCTAGAATGCATTCAAACGCATGACAGGGGTTGCATATTTAATTGGTTTCTGAAACCCTGCAACTCATCATCTAAGGCTTGGATTTTGCGTTGCGGTCCAATATGTATTGAGGATGCGTCCTGGGTCACTATTATGGTCAGGATTGCCTTGCAGTCTCCATATATGGATTTCCCGTGGCACACATCATAAATCACGAGCGAATCCTCGTGGAGTGGTTCCCGGGAAAAACATGTACAAATGTGTTGAACTGGCCAATCTCATAGCTTGCCGCTTTGGATTGATAGCTCTCTTGTGTTTGGTGAGACAAATTTGGTGGAATACAGAACAACCTGGGGGATCAGTGGCCCAGTGGCTCCCCTACCTGCAAGTTCCCCTCCATCCGGATCGCACCATCCTGGGATTCCAGAGCAGCTTGATCCAAAGATTGTTCCCTGGCTATAATGGTTTTTATGAATCCACTTTGGTGAACCAGCATGTCATGTTGCAGAACTATTTTTGTTCGTTAAATGAACCTACTTCGATGGCAATTCAATCTGTCAACTCAGCTGGATGGGATTATTTGGACATCGCTCGTTGAAGAGAACGGTGTGCTTTGGAAATCCGTGGCTAGGATGAAACAATATGATATGTCAGTTCATTCATGGCCATGTACTATTATAAGATGATCCTCTTTCCCAGGGTCCAATGGGTCCACGATGGGCTGCAGGTGTTGGCTCCATATGTTATCGCTGCAAGCCCGGATCACTCGTGACGACCGGAACAAGCACGAATGGTCTTCAAATGGTAACACCAAAATTTCCCGGGCTGGTGATGGTCGTATCAAGAGTGTGTGTTCTGGCTTCAAACATTAATATGATCATGTTGTGGTTTCTTCTTGCTCTTCCAAGATTGTTATAATTAGAACTTTGAACCTGAGGAGTGGGGGGCCAAAGCTCAAGAGCACCCAATCATATCCTATGTCCTTCTGCGCACGCATGGGTTATCTCCACAAGACTTGGTGCATCGAAACTTGGGTTGTTAAAATTTGAAGAATGTATCGTACCATGTGATTATTTATAATGATGGGGGTCGTTCTATCACGATTTGAGGCCACTAATCAACTTCCAGCCATTCCCGACCAGCACCAATTGGAGCAAGGACCTCACAACTTTGCCTCTTGGTGCATATTATGGGGAGGTATGGGTTCTAATATAGCGGATGGAATAGGGATTCAATATTTAAATTTGTAATCAAACCCCACTGCTGGAATTGAACACTTTCATTGTTCAGGTGGATCCTGCAACATGGGAAGATGGCAAGCTTGCCCCTCTACTGCAAACAGAGCAAAATTATAGGGCGGTCTAATCATCATGATTGTTTTACCATATTATTATGGGGCACCAGTACCACCAAAGCACCCATCCCAGGAAGAATTCCTCTGCTTCTTGAAGGATGAGATCCGGTCAGGTAAGTTCAAGCCTAGGAAGGGAGTGCCAATGCAGGTCACCCCACTGTGCCGGGAACAGCTCGATGTTTATTTTGCTTTGCTCAAAGGGCCAAACTTGAAACGAAAACATGACCAATAGGTCAATAGCCAATAGGTTGTCGAAAAGTGATCGAAATCAAAATTGTCTTTATAACCAATTTGATTTGGTGTTTTTCCATTGTTGGAAGGTCATTGCAAGAAGGACAACCAAATTCGACATGCTGTGGACTACCACTATTGCGTTGCATTGGGGAAAACAAGTCAAACAGCAATTAAGATCTTTCAATGCAAATGCGCTATGACTCCATGACAGTATGACTCCATGTTCACTGCATTTCCGGAAATATGTAGCCGATACAATGTCGAATTCAACACATTATGGCTCCAAGTGCCCGGATTTGAGGGTGTTGGCCTACTGGTTTGCTCCTGAGGACAGGGTTGAAACATGTTAGAACCCCCAAAAACCGATTTAATATCTCACCCCAGGGGGGATAGGAACCGTGATGGAACCGTTAGGAACCGGCAGGAACCGTGAGGAAACGGGCAGGAACCGTGATGGAACCGTGATTTGAATATATCCGGAAAAACGACATCGTTATTCCAAGTTTTCCGGTTTGAAAACTGTTTTGTCAGCATATATGTCAGACAGGGGTTGTTCTGTGTTTTATCTTGCAGGATTCCTCATGCCGCCAAAAGCTACGAAAGCACCACCAGCACCAGCGCCCAAACCCAACATGGACCTGGTGCAGAGCATTCTAGCTAAAGCACGAGCAACAGCAAACAAACGGAAGGTGGATGGCGTGGAGTCAGCATCTCCAGCTACCAAGGCAAAAGCCACACCTGTGCCCCCTCCAGCAGTAGTTGCACCCAAAGTTTGCCCTGCTGTGCCACCAGCTGGTGGAAGTGCAAAGGCACAGCCACCTCCACCACCGGCAAAAGCAATTCCCCCACAAGCACCTGCACCTAGCGATTCCACTGAGGCCAGCAGCCCAGTGCCGAAGACTGCAGCACCAGCACCGCCCCCACCAAGTGCCAAGATTCAACAAGCCTTGAACACTGCAAAGGAAATTCGTTTGCACAAAGCACATGTTCAGCCCAAAGCCCATGCCCCAGATCCGAACACACCGCCGCCCAAAGTTACCTCACCTCCTACTTTGCAGAAAGCACACACCCCAGAGTCGTTGCATACCCCGCCGCCCAAGCATGCATTTGCATCTCCTATGGCTAGCCCGGCAGAGACTGTTCGCAGCAATTCATGGGAGAGCAACTCATGGGAGCCTTCTCAGGATGACTGGTGGATGACTTGCAATTCTCAAAGGGAATACTATGGTCGACAGGGTCTGTCCTGGTGGAGGGAGTATGATGGTCTCAGTCCATATGCCCCTGGCAACTGGATGTGGGATTCCTGGAACAACCGGTATGTCTTTACCGAGGGCAGCCAAAGCTGGGTGAGCAAGTCTTGGGATACGAATGGTGATGGGATGAATGATGAGACATATGATGACGGCAACCTCAGCACCCCTTCTATGCCTGCAACTCCTGTTGGTCCACCCGGAAGTGGAACTTCTAGTACTGAGAATGATGCCCTGGATGCTAATGGTGCTGATGCTGAATCGGGTCATGTCAGGGAGGCCCTTGCATGTCGCAAACCGTCAGCCCCGAATGTTACATCCCCAGAACCTGCAAATGACAGTGCAGTTCCCCCTGAAACGGAAGCAGCCCCTGAAACGGCAGCAGCTGAGCCAGTTGTTCCCCCGCTGCCGTCAAGTGGCATGGCAGTGAAGGCAGAGCTGCCAGACTCAGAAGCCTCAGGTATGGCAAGCCCGGTCGATGCATGGAGATGTGATAAGCATGGGAAACCATGCACCCCGGAAGCTCTCTACATGCGCTTCTACAGGCGCTTGAGAAGTTACTCATTTCAATTATTTCACTTTTTGGTAGTGGTCATAGTTTAAACCCGCTAACGTTCCAGTGTCACTCAACAAATCGATAAATATGGATATGTACTGGATATGTATCAATTGAAGCTTTATAAACATTTGGGGGAACAAAAGGCATCCCAAAAGGGTATTTGTTTGGGGCCAAAAATGGAGCTGACTCTTGACCTATACCCGCATCCCATGGGGTCAACCTACACAACCTGGTACCCTCGATAGATAATATCTTATTATTATGTTCTAATCTATGATGGTTGAACTGAATCTTGCCCATCTCAGGGTGTCAATCTACATTGCTGGCCTGAGGCCCAAAGGAGAAGATTCCGGAGGAGGTGATGGCAAAAAAAATCGAAGCCGAGACCAGCCGCTAGAATCAATCTATTAGTAATTTGATGCCCAGATTCTCGGCTTAACATTATTCGAATGATATTGATGATTATTGAATCGACCCTTTCATAAAATTCTAGTTAATATCTTCATGGGCCCATGTTATCTTCCAAGTAGGCAATTATCAAAAACAACTTCTCACATGCGAAATCAAAATACACAATGATAATGTTTCGTGACCACCTGTATGATTTTTTAAAGCATGACGGGTCAGCCCTTTACATCCAAAATCTAAAGGGCTTCAAAATCAGAAAGGAAATGCCGCCCCTGAGAATCCCAAACCAAAATTGCAAGTACTTGTAATTTTCCTGTTGGTTTGCCGTACTAACCCACCATTTTGTGGAACGTCCATTTTTTTTGGAATATACCCAATTGATCTCGAGTTAAAACTTATAAGTGTAACAATTATATAGTGACGTACAGGTTCACCTTGCAGCCCTGCCACAAGGTACCAACGGCAAGCACAAGATGCACGATCTGTATCTGATGTGGTTGTCCTGCAAGGGGGTGTGGGGCGAATGTTCACTTGTCTTGACCGCCAAGAGATCCAACACCCATGATGCTACGGAACTCTATGAGTACCTACCGGAAAAAGAATTGAGAGAGAAGTTGGGTGATGACTTAGCTACGGATCTCATAGAGCGCCACACCCAAGCCGAGTCGAAGTTGAAGGGGGACCAGAAGGGTCAATTCATCAAAACGTATCTTGACTGTTTACATCCAATGTTGCATTGAATTTGGAACATTGCACATACTGGAATATAGGGATGTCTCAAAATAGGGGGGGCCCAAACCCTTGTTTTTTGTATTTGGAATTTAGCTTTGGGGCCCCCCTATTTTGACACATCCCCATACTTGTTTATTTGTTAAAATACTTGATGAGGCATTGGTGTTTTGAGATTTTCAATCCAGCTTTCCAGCGCTATAGCTAAGGAATCCACAGTTCCCCAACAGGACTGATCAGTGGCGATACAAATGTTTCATCAGCTTCAGCTCAGCCTTCAAGCAGTCGAGTGGAACAGAGATTCAAGCGTCTCAAACTGCTACTCATGTGGATCAAGATGATTTCGACAAGATGTTGTAGCTTGTTGCATTAATGATGCCAGTGGAACTTTATCTTGAACAGCATATATGCATATTAATATGAGCAACACAGTACATGCACAAGTACGCTATTATAAAAGTTATATCCATCGTGGTGATAAGATTTAAGAGGTGGTTGTCCAGCTTGGGCTGAAGCCAACATCAAGTTGGTTGTGCACTAAGGGACGACGCTGCCAATGGCATCACCGTTGCAGACATTCCCAGAACTTCTACCCCCAAGCCGGGCCTGCCAGTGCCCAAAAAGGAAAAGAAGGAGAGGACTCCAAAGCAACTTCTGGATCAGGCATTGGGGGTCAGCTACACCAATTCTAAGTTTCAATCACCCCATTTGTTGGGATGGTACCCCGACTTGACTTCTAATTTATAACCATTCAAGACAAGTTGGCAGCAATGTAGAGTACCAAAATACTTTCAGGGGGAATAGTGAGTTTTTGTCCCCCCCCCCAAAAAAAAATCTTCCTATAAAACACCTTTTGGAGAATCCCATGCCCATGCCCCACACTCGGCGCATTCCAATCAAATTAATTAATTAGAACCTATCCAATTGTCTGGGTCCAGGCCAACAGCGTTGCCAACCGTTGCTTGACGGAGTTCATGGAAATGGAAGCGAAATTGAAAGATGCTAATGGTGGTGAGAATCTCGGTATACAATTTATGGTTGGTCGCTTTTGACAAATAAATTTCAATCTTAGGATCAACTGACCAGGATTCAAAAAAGCTCACCATTTCCCCCTGACAATCACCACCACAATCATGGATCAGTTCAGCCCCTTGGTAAGGAACACTGCCTACAAGACTGCGTTGCTGAAGGATCTCCAGGAGTCCTCCACAAGACTTCAGCATGCCAAAGCGCAAGCCATGAAGAGCCTCGCGGTGGACAATGCATCTGATCACACCGACAAGTACAATGCAGCTCACTTCAACATAATTTGGTCAGATGGGGGTGGTATACTTAATATCCTTGAGAAATCTCACGAAGTTACATGTTTCATGTCAGGATTCGCACTTTTAAGAGTATATATGATAGCATATAACTTGGGAATCAGGGGTTCCTGGCAGGAAAAACATATTTCTCACAATGTATCATGATAACATGTCGCTGCCAAAACATTCAAAGATCTACCAACTGAGATGTTGGAATTTCAATCAGATAATGTTGTTTCACTTCAACTTCGAACTAGTAGTGCCCAATACGTTTGTGCCAAACTACTAGTGGTGAGTTTCAACTTCTAAGGTGTTGCAGACTGAGATCACTGCATTCAAGAAGTTGACCAACACTGTGAGGGCACACATTAAGCCCAAGGCTAAGGCTAAGGCCAAGGCTAAAGCAGCGTCAGCCGCTGCTTGAAGCCTGGCATTTTGGAAATATGATTGGGGTTATCATTTGTGGTTGATGCTGCATGGTTAAAGCAAGCCAGAAAATGATTGTACCAAGATACAAGTACTGGTTCACTTTTTGTGCCATGATAGCTGTTCACCCTCGAATGCTGGACCGTGAGCTTGCTGGGGCGCAGTGTCATGTCACCACAAGTGCCACTAGTTGTATCGAGATTGACTCACGAGTCATTAATGATGCCAATTCATGCCAACTTCTGTCAACATCTCGATTAGCTGGCTGAGCTTCTGTGGAGGGATGGAACCCCTTTAGCACACCATGTGTCCATACTTGAAACACCGGTGCCCAAAAAAAAAGGTTCATTTCGTGATTGCTTCAGTCAAGTTCGAGAGTTGCTGACTGGTATGATGACAGAGATATTCCAGCAGCTGAATCAAATGAGCAAAAATGATAATGCGCGCTATTTGTTGAAGATCACCCCATGATTCAAAGAGCCCACTTGTAACAGCCATCCTGGTCCGCCGCACGCAGGTGCTGCCTCATCGACAAGGTCGTCCGCAGGGTTTGCTGATCACCTGCTCCGTGGCTTGATGATCCCGGGTTGTGGAACAACTAAAATCTTCCTGGGTTTGCTTGGGTTCCCCTGCATGCGTGTTTATTTTCTGGTGGCGTTTTCCTAATCCCAATTTACGCATGCGGGTATCTACTACCTCCCAAATATATCACTCAACTTATTAGATATATTTCTTGGAACCTGTACATGTCATGTACTAGCCCAGGCTTAATCGACTTGGAGATGGCCGTGAATCTGCAGAGAGTGCAATCAACTCTGCCCAAGCAGTGGTGGATGAAGTTGGGGCCCAACACGTGCATCCAGTAACCAGAGGGGTGGCAAAACTTAAGATCAAGAATGCAAACCGGGACCTATTCAGATTCATTCGGCTCCCATTGGATCTTAGTTGGGTCTCATGTCCAGTACGGTCACGCCCTGGCTCAGATGATGTTATCGAAGCAAAACTCCCAATGTATGACCCCCACGAGCTGCTGAACTACTTGCACAGCACAGGGCGTCTCAAGGCTGATGATTCCGTACTTGAGAACTTTGTTTGAACATGTTTTCTCAATATAGACATGGCAAACTTTTGGGAGGGGGAGCTCTATTTTTATTGATTTTCCGATCTGGTATTCCCGGATATATGACTTACATATTTTCAAGATGTTTTTGAGACAATGCAAAATCAGTCTCAGGAGCTATTGGGATCACTGGAGCCGTGTTGCTAGCTGGGCATCCAACCACCCTGGAAAAGAAACACGAGCAATGCCCGTTTTTTTTATACGGAGATGAGGCAAGGTATACTGCCACCTACGGAGACAAATTCATTGCACTTTGCCTCGGCTCACCATTAATACATAAACAGCGTCCCTTGCAATACATCTTTGACAATTGTTGATATGATTTGTCATTATATTTTTTGGATGATAACCCCATTCCAAATTTATTTTCAATTGGCACCATGTTCCACCAACATTCTAGCCGCCACTTAGGTGCCCATGCTGAGAACTTTCTCTTCTGCTGTGTGAGATCAACGATTGCTGTGGGGAGTTATGGTGCTGACTCTTGAATTCAACTAGTACTAGCAAATAACGAAAATCATAATGTATCGTGATGGACGTACGATAGTTTTAGCCACAACCCCATCATTTCCCTAGCCTCCAATTCTCATCAAATGCTCAGCCATGGCCACGCTTGGCAGATGTTGGCTGAATAACAGCCCTAATGGTGCATTGCTTAGTGTGGTTGTGTGCGCGCCTACATTTGCTAGCTTTGAAGCCAGTTTTCTGAAATTTTGCTGTTACACCTTTAAAGGGTTGTCCAACAATTTCAAGTAAGGAAACGTTGCATCCTATTTTGCAACGAGCCCGTTGGTCATTCAACATTGCTCTGGCTGGCCGCAGGCCTTCTGCAGGATTGTCTTCAGAATTTGAATTGACCCCACGACAGAAAAAACTTGCAGGAACATGCCTGTCCTCAACTTTTGCAGTGACTGAAGTTAAAGCGGATTGGGCTTGGCATATTGCGTTCTTCAAGATGTGGAAGTACTATTGGAAATGTGGTCAAATTTGCTTTCGGTGTAACGCAGCTCGAATCCCAAGGTCACTTGTTTGATCATCTATGTGTACATGCATGCATGCATATATGGGACAATTAGGAAATCATATGGGGCAAATAGGTACACCAAATACACCACAATAATTTTAATTGTCTAATTACTCATTATGTTCTTGGGGGACACCCTGACACCCCGGCAAGCCCACCATTGAAAAAAAAGGTAACATCGATATCTACAAAATAAAGGGTCCACTAATGTCCACTACTATTTCGCTGCAATATACCCAAGCTCTCCCGCGAACCTCTCTCCCTATCTAGGTATGGGCCACTATTCACAGACTTTGACTGCTCGTGGCAGAGCCGTTCAACTATCGAATGGATGCAGGATTGCCTTTTGCCCCCTCCAAATCCATTGGCATTCATCAGAGGATTTGACATTGGCATGCTGTACCTTCTACTGGTTTGGATTATTTGTTTGTACTCATTTTGATACCTTGTGCCCCCCATGGATTTAATATTTGGACTTTATCGAATTCTAGATCTGTTGAGGAAGCATTGCTCGATGCACACCAACAATCTTGGGCTGTACGCTGTGCTGAATGCAGAAGGGCTAATCATGCTAGCAAAGCATCGTGTTGCTCAATGGCAATGCTCCCTGGAAGAAGCTATGGGACACTTGTACCAAGATTTTCGTTCTTGGACCCATGCAAACAAGATCAGTTGTTCTCACAGAAGATGGAGATGGCACCAACTTCATACAGAAACTATGGAAGGAGTTCCAACCTTTCCTTTCTTGGTTGCGAAAGCTTACAACGCCCGTGTTATTTTGGCATGGATAGCGGTCCCTCAGCTAAGAATATATGTTTTTTACCTGCACAGTATATGCTCAAACTTTTTTGGGCATTTTTTTTTACGGATCCAGTAAATCCTCAAGCTCAAAAAGTTGTGGGTTTTTGGGTTAGAGTGGAACGATTAATTTATTAATATTGGACCTTCTGACCCCTGCCGTGCAAACTTAGGTGGAGCCGACTCAATCGCTTGAGGAGATGTTGAAGCAATATGAGGACGAAAGTCCGCGCGACTATGCAGATCGCAAAGAGTTGTGGAGCATTGGGATTGCAACTGTGTATCTTGATTGTGTACTAGTTTTTCATTTTTGGATCTGTTTGCCACCGGGTACCAATAAGCGTGTTACTGTGTTTTTTGGAGCTGTTGTGCAAGTATAGAAACAACGTGTTCCCAGCATTTGAACGAGGTGCAGCTTTGCAGAGTGGCAGCGGACTACAGAGGTGTTTCCTTTTTACCTGACGCAGCAACAAGCTGCCACCATCCATGACCTGGGGATACAGTGCCTTCAGTTGTTTCATGTTGCAGCGCACACCGCTTTCCAACAGTCGCAATTAAGATGGCAAATATTGCCAAAATTGCATATCTTTCACCACATGTGCTTAGATGTCTTGGAGGATTTTTACAATCCTCGTGCGTTTCATTGTTTTAGCGGGGAAAGTTTTATGGGGTTTGTAAAGACTGTGTGCCAAGCCACCAATATGGCTCCAAACATGGAAGAGAGGGTGCTAAGACGAACCCTACTCAAAGTTGTAACGGGCTGTAGCGAAGAAGTGGCTGGCTTTGCTGATAAAAAATGAGCTGCAAATGGATGTTGTGGAGGCAAAATCTATCGGAAAGATGTAGAAAGATCATTGTTTCAACATGTAAATTCTTGGTTCCTGGATAGTGGTTCCTCGCTGGAATTTTGGTTCCGGTGGTTCCAGGAACTGAGGCCTGGTTACTTGGGAGAGAGGGTCGCAGGAGTGCTTAGGTATATATATATATATAAATGATGTGATGAAATTAAACTATCGGTCAAGGTTTGTCCTTAATATTCCTTAATACTGTTTAGCAATTGAATCTGTGTTTATCTTTGTTTGATGTAGTAGATTAGTCTTCAATAATGGCAGTTCAACTGAGAATTACGAATTTCACTATTCAGCGATTAGAATTTTTCAATATTAAATAGTTGAATTTCTGGCCGTACCGGGCATTTTCTTGAAATTGTCACCTGGCTAAGGGGGAATCCCCAATTTCAAAGAGGTAAATCATCTACTCATGGTGAGTTCCAACATGGTGTAGCTCATAGGGGACACAAAAAACCCGCCTGTTGGTTAAGGATGTTGGAGATGAAAATGTTGGGATCTGGCTTATTGGGGATATCACATTATATTGGGTGCTTCTTTTGGGTATTGTAAAACACATATGCATATATACACACATACATTATACAAGTCCATATTTGATCAAACATATGACAGGCATTCCACTAGATGCATTCACCTCATTGAGGAACGGGCTGGACAACAGTGGCTTGACACCTCTGCACGTTGCCGCCTTCCGTGGAGACGATGCTGTCGCATGGCTTGAACCACAGCTGTGATGGGATGTGGTTTATCCCGAATTTCTTTAGGGTTTCGACATGTTTATCATGTTTCAACCATCCAAGGTGCAGGATTTTGCAACCATCCACAGTATGGTACCATATTTTTGCAGGCCACATTTTCTTACTACTTGAGATGGCAGGTGGTGCAGGCACTGTGCCAGCTCGGGGCCAATGTGAAGGCTGTGGATGAGGAAGGTTGGACACCTCTCTATGTTCCTTGGAGAAATCCAGTTGAGGGCTGGGGTGAATCGGCGTGTATAAGATTCTCATAGGTTCTCAGTGCGGCTACATGCAGGTTGTTGCAGCATTCGGTGGTCAAGAAGATGTCTTCAAGACCCTGTTGGCAGCAAAATCAGATGCAACTTGCCGGCAATAAAGGAAGAGATCTAGGCTATTGCAGCTGTGAGTTTGCCCAAGAAACCGTCTTGCATTTCTTGGATCCCACATGACAACAGTCAACACACGCTGCGGGGCCGAGGCCAACTTTACAACTCCCAGTGGCACCACCATCAGCATGGCTGCAAAGCAGAAAGGCCTTGCGTTGCTCTCAGGTTTGAATCACTTGACTGGTGATTGGGAAGGGTTTTTAATCATGGCAGAAAATTGCATTTGATCAGCATTGTATCCCAGAATCAATATCATCTCAGCAAAATTCCACGAAGGACATTGAAGGACCCAGGTTTGAGGACGAAGGCGACGAAGGTGACGAAGGTGTGATGCGTAGCGTCATGGGCGTCATGTCAGGCTTTACCCAGCTGTTGAATCTCCTGTAAGATGGCGATGGCAAGTGGCGAGTCGTGGCCAATGTTGAAATGCTGGTGACTCCAAAGAAGAGTTACCCGAGAGACTTGTCATTGACAAATCATTGACAAATGCGGTGGAAAAGACAGACAGTGAAGGCACATGAAGGCACTATGGATGAAATTCTTCACCACTTGGCACGAAGGAGGTGTGTCACTAGCGGCAGGATAGCATGAAATGATATGACATGTATTGAAATGTATGAGTATGCAGGAGTTAATATGGAAGGCGCAAGGATTGTGCCCAAACTGGACTGTTCGAAGTGGGTATGCATGGCATGCTAGGGCCCAAACTCATCCAAACTCCAAGACATCATCCACTGCCTCTCGACACCTTGGCCTTGGACATCCTCAGGTGCACAGCTGCCGCAGACAAAAATGAAAAGCTGAAGATGTGGCTCCCTGAGATATCCTGAGATCCAAGCTGCCAAATCCACACTGCATCAAGTCAACCATGCTGAATATATCATAATATATCTGAACATCAATGAATCTCTTGAGCCAACATAAATCATGCTCTTGAACTTGAACCTCAAATAATTTCTGTAAGATTGCAAGATCCTACAGGATTCTAGGACGTTCAAATTCATATTGTTTGCCACAGCTAGCGAGTTCCTTGGCCAAGCTGGCTACATCTGGCTACTGCATCGCAGATGCAGGGATAGCAAGAAAAAAGAGTGTGGTGGACTGCAGCTTTTCCATCTGGAAATGACGAACTGATACGACCTGAGACCATGGGTTTGTCCATGGGGATGCTGGGACGCACCTATCATCACCAGCAAGAAAATCTTGCACCACAGTGTTTGGGGGGTACCTTACCTTTTCCGCCTTCTCAGACGAACCCTGAACAATTGCGAGGTTGTAACAAGTGCATCTAAGTGCTAGGGTTAAAATGCAATGCCATCACAGTTGGGCGACATGCCGTTGCTTGCAGAGTTCCTCCTTTCAGGTGTCCAGACGCAGACGCCGGCATTTGTTTTTGGCTCGGGGTAGGTTTCAGAGGACACCAACCTCTCCTTGCGATGTCTCATGGCAGGCCTATCCACCAAATTTGTTGCAGCTGTGTGAAGCTGAGATCATGTTTCTTGTGCCCATCAGGCTGCAGGAAGGCCGTGATAGGTCATGCAACCACTGTTGCGCCTGGTTGATACCATAGCCTCCATCCAGCTTTCGTGGGGCTGGACGGGATGGACTGGATGGACTGAAGTCCTGGACAATCAATTGCGTCCAGGCCATTTCCTTCTCCGAAGCCTTCGCTCACAGCTTCAACCTGCTATGCTGCTGGACTTATGGTCATTCAGTTGATTCGGTATTGCAGATGGGAGGGTGATTTTGTCGTCAAATGCGGGTGTGCTTTGAAGGTTTGCTTCCCTGAGTCCTTTGCTTCTTGATGGTGTAGTGCATTTGAAATTTCATGAAATTTCAGATCCTGCTGCGACAGACACAAACCTCAAAACTAGAAACTAGTGACCTGCTAGTGCCTCTCGTTCTGAGGAAAAGAGCCCTCAATCTTGGAGCAACACATCCTACGGCAACTCTGGCAGACAAGCAGAATCTTGTTCACAGTGGCGTTGGCGGTCTTGTCACCACTGGTTGCTGGCAAAGCCTTGTCATTTTTAGCACACAAAATGAAGGCACGGCAAGGTGCCG